GAGCAAAAAATAAAAAGAAAGGCACAGTACCGTAATTTCCAGTATATAAGCCACTACTTTTTTCACAGGCTTTGAACACCACATTTTATACAATGCTGCAGCTAAATTATGGAATACATTTTTTTGACAGGCTAACGAGCTTCATGCCACCAAAACATTTAGCCTCGTCACGCCCAGACGCTTATATACTGTAGCTGCCCAATACACATCTCTCTTGGGGGGGAGGGTCCTCGAGACTCAATGAGATTACCTGTATAAAGAAGGGTTAAAAAAACTGAGCTGTGAAATTACCAAACAGGTCACAGTGAGCGTTTCATTGGTCCACTGTCCCGCTCTCTCCTCCCCACCCCTTGCAGGAGTTTTCCCCCTCGTTGTATGAAACAAAGTATTTGTAGCCACTTGAAATATGTGTGAATCGTAAATGAAATCAAATCATGAATTTACCTCAAGACGAAAGTGACGTCGAGAGCGACAGTGAAAGAGAGACGTGGGACGTGTGTGATGAAGTAATTCAGAGGCTGTTCAATTCTGACACTGAAGACGACTTTAATAGTTTTAGTGCACAATAGCGATCAGTGACTTCCTGGTAGGCTACTGTATTTTTTTATTTTTTTTTACCAGTCGTGTTACAGGCACTGCTCAGAAAAAAAAAAACATTTATTGTACTTATTTGTGTATGTTACCAGTACGTATTTAATTCAAATTTTAAAAAATCTTTCTGTGTAAATATCTCATGAACACTTGCGGCTTATACACAATTGTGGCCAATATATGTAAAAAAACTGTTCTTCTTTTTTAATTTAGTGGGCGTGGCTTATATTCATGCGCATTCAATAGTCCGGAAATTACGGTAATATTCATAGTTATTACACTGAAAACTGTAATATGATAAAAGATGGATAAAAATAACTGTACAAAAGGACAATCTGAATGTTACAATAAATCTTCTGCAAAATTAAAACCGTTTTGATAATAACACAACCATTATTGAAAATGTGGCGCTATATTTATTATTTAAAGTTTCCAGTGCTGCAGTCCTTTAGTAAATAGGATGAAAGACAAAACCAGTAAAGAGCATGCAGCTGTATAATAAACTCAACTGTGTTTTTGTTGCAGGGCTTTGCAGGACTTTATTTTTCTTCTACAACACATCCTCTTAAATGGATTAGATGGCAATTTCTCAACTAAGAGGTTCCTCCCTGCAACTACAGTACAATAAATGTTTGCCCTAATGAAGGACTTAATAGCTTTTACATAATGAGTATTCAGTAAACTAATAAAAATGGGACAAGAGAAAGACATCATTGTTATTGAGACATAATTAGAGAGAATTGAAGTTATTGTACGGGGACACATTTTCAGAAGCTCCTTTTTATTCTTGATTGTTCGGATCACCACAGAGGTGTTGTCGGGCTCTTTCTGCTGCAGTTCTGTGTTATAAAAGTGCCGCACTGAAAAATATATTTCTTTTTACTGTCTTTTTTTTCCCCTCTGTCTCTCCATGAAATAAGTTGCCATGGAAATAGTGAGCCCCGCTACCCGCAGCTTGCTCTCTCTCGCTCTCTCCCGTCCAGGCTCCCACAGAGAGTCATTCCTCTGTGTATAAACCACCAGCTGTTCCAGATGTAAATAATAGAACACTGATAGCTGCGAGCTAAGCCTCAGGCATCAATAATGGATACGTGAGCTGGATGGATGCTGCTGCAGAGTGACACTGCCGTCACGGGGGCTTCTTTTAACACCTCACCTCTCGGTAATCTCCCAGATCGTGCATGCGCGAGTTAAGTGAACTTCTCGCGCTCCTGTGATATATCGATGTCAAGAGTTAAATCTGACACGCGTGACGTGCAATCAGAAGCACCATGTGTGAACTGGGTCAGACCTGCTATATTATGCTCAACGTACCGCAGAAAGCTCCACATAAGTCAAGTCTCCTGTCAACTCTCACATTCTGTTTGTACGTGTGCGTTTGTCTTGTTAAAGCTGAATCTACAGCTTCTCTGTTGAGGCTCCCGTGTGTTGCTTGGCAACCAACCTGGCCTTAACCAGCACACATATGAAGTGGAGATAAAATCCAGTCGCACACTCAGGTGGATTAAGAACAATAGACCTGAATTGCAGCGCGTTGCATCACAGGACGGGCGGTGAGCGACGTCTAACTGAGGTTCGACGAGTCCAAGTAATTGAGCAGTTTAAGCTTTAGTGTGTGCGGAAGTGGATCTGCTTGAATCGCCAGTGGGTTTAGCTGTTCCATGAGTGCTTTTTGTGCAGAGGGAGTTCAGTCAGTGCTGCCTCCTGACGTCCACAGTGAGTTGATTTTTTTTTTTTGGCGCGCGTGTTGAAAAGTGGAAGGTATTAATAATGCATGACAGCTGAGCATCAGCAAGGAAAAGAGAAAGAGGGACTGTGTGAGTGTTTATGCTAGAGGCATGCTCGCAGTCACTTAGGTTTGATGCTTGGTGGCTGTCTGTGGATGTGATTTTGCGCGCATGGTTCATGTGTGTGTGTTTGATGCAATGATTGACAGAGGAAACTTGTGGAGCCCAATTGGCCATCAGGAATCAACTGACACTTCTTTAAACTCTTAGAGTTTTCATTGTGCATCGCTCCCTCCCATCCTCTGTCGTTTCTTTGCTTCAAATCTTGCTTTTTTTTCCCTAAACTTCTGAATCTCCCTGCTCACTTCCTTCTTTCTCTCTCCCAGCCTCCATATCTTTCCATATTTACTCTCCACCCCGCTCCTCCACCGCCTCCTCTTGTCCCGTCCTCCCTCCCTTTCTGTCTGTGGTTGAGCTCCAGTGATAGGCTGTTAATGCAGGCGTTGTATGAGTCTATCTCACCATCTGCAGTAGTGGAGCTCGCTCCTCTCTCGTCAGGATCTATTCAGCAGCCTTCCAACTTCATCCTGTGTGCTTGTTCACGTTTTGCTAGAAGTAGACCGATGAAGCATCTTTGGGCTGATGGAGTTTGTGTGTGCGTGAGTGGTTTTTTGTTGTGAAAGTAGCAGGCAAGCTGTTGAATCTTCTTCAAGAGTGTGTGAGGACGTAGAGCAGGTATGTGTGAACTAGGCAGTCAGGGAGGCGTGGACGGCCGCTGGCACTGTTCGGCTGCTCAGGTAGAGATTTTGCTCTTTCAGCATGCAGATTCTTTTTAATGTTTCCTCTTGTGTTTATTCTTACCCTCACTATTGTTGACAGCCTGTCTGTCATTATGCCAGCATGCTCTCTAAGGGAAAAGCTGAGCAGCAGTGGGTTAAGATTAAGGCGCGGATGTCTCTTGGGTCTACATTGTTCATGCACATCTGATAAACTTCGGCGAGTTATTAACGCGGTTTTTATAGCCTTTATGTTCCTGGTTTTCCTCGTGTTCACTTTGTCCCGTCACAAAAGGTGGATCAATACTCCAATTAACACTTTCCTGTTTGAATGGGGCGGTCAGCTGGTTACGTGATGTCACAAATCAGAGGAGGCACCTTGTAAATTTTTATTAGAGCTGGAAATCAGGATTCCAGACAGGTGCTTCTGATGGTCAAGCATGGTGGTTTAACATTGATTGGTGGCAGATGTCATAGGCAATGTGTTTCCCACTGGCTGACTGGTTCAAGTGTTATTTGGATCCTGGCAAAGGCACAGAGGTTTATTGACTGGCTGGATGCCAGGGGCTAAGCTCACCCTTGCAGCATTTGACAGGCCAGTGGGCTGAACTGATTGAAAAGGCAGCGGAGGGAAGAGACAAAGTCAAGCATCAATGACCTAATGCATGTTTCAGGCCATCCTAAACCACATTAGACTTGTTAGGGGTAGCATCCTGCCTTACAAGGCCAGAGCAGGCGATTTAATATGACCTGCTTCTTGACTACATGCACAATCTGTGCCCCTACAAAGACATGGTGGCAAAAAAGCAATTAGTTTTGTGTAAATTTCACCGAAGACATCGATACTCAGTTAGTGCTTTGATTAGGCCCAAATTTTCCATCAGTTTGTGTGTGAGCTCTTCTCGTTGTGTAACTCTGCTGCTCTCTACCCTCGCCTTTATTCGCTGGGTTACTAACATCCACTGCAATGCATCACAATTCAATTTTAATTTCACTGAGCGCCCAGAGTGGTTAAAATACATGCACGTGCACACAGTAAAATCTCACATGCCAAAGCGTCAAGGCAGGCGATGTTCAACAGTAGTTCATGAATATGCGGCGCACATTAGCGCGGTGTTAAGCAAAGACAGCAGCACTTTGAAGCCCTCCTTCTGGTCCGTCTTCTTCTTTCTCCACCTAAAACTCGGTTTTATCCATCCATCTATCTTTTAGCGACTCCCTCTTTTCTCTCCTCTCCCCACACATCCTGGCAGGAATAGCAAATCAATGCACAGGTCCCCGATGAGGGTGCACACTCCCTGTTTTTTTATTTTTTTATTTTATTCCCCTTCATTTTTAACTGCCTGAACTTAAGAGTTGCCATGGCAACAGGAGGTGCAGGGACGGAGAGAAAAAAGGGCGCCTTTTCCATTGAGAGGAGACAAGACAGAGAGGAAGAGCTGCTGTTCAGATACTCGGTAAAATACGGGCGTTCACGGAGAGGTGCTGAATAAAACAGCTAATTGTTGTGTTTTATGTTTTATTTTTATCCACACGCTGCACATTCCTGGTCCAAACTGGAACGCTTCCCAATATCAGACGAAGCAGGATAATGAAAAGGTTTGAGCAAACAAGAGGGGGAGGGTTAAAAGAGTAGGAGATAAGTGGTAGTTCCCTCGTGGATTTAAACAGGATTCATTGTTTCTCTCCTCCCGTTTTCTTTCTTCTCCTTCTCCTCTCGTGTTCTGGTTTTGGCCATGAGCCATTGCTGGGGGCTGGAGTGCAAACTGGATAACGTGTGGGCGAAGGGTGGATGCTGTGTGCTCACACATGTAGAAAATAAACAGAAGAGGTGTGGAGCGCAGGCTGTGGGCCTTCATAAACTGTATATATGTTTTATTCAAATCTTGATTTTGTTTCCCCGCAGTCGGTGGACGACCTGCTAGTGGCGTCAGCTGAATGTTCAAGCGACGATGAAGACATTGAACCCTGTGACCTCAGCTCAGGTGAGACCCATCTGTTGATGTTTTAGCTTGTTTTATGCATATTCACCATTGCTCAGTTTTCTTTCCCATGGTCACTTGCTCTTATGAATTTTTCATTTTCACTTTGGTTGCTGTGTCTGGGCACCACCTCATATCTTCATGCTTTGCTTTTTGCTCCTTCCCCTCACCTTTCTGTTATCATTTGTTATATTTAATCTTAGAGAATTTAATAGGGATGCACCAATACCACATTTTTCTAAACCAAGAGCAAGTACATTTACTTATATTTGAGCACTAAATGCCATCACACTTCTTACAGTTAGTCAAACCTCTAACATATTTAATACATTCTAACAGGTGATGTACATGTTGAAATTTTACATTTTTAATACATTTTAGAATACATTGACAATAAAATAATCAGTTAAAAAAAATACTCCCCTCATAAAACATTTAACGGTCATCCTCACTGCACAGCAGAGGCACTATTCCTGCCCGGTAACATTGCTAAAATCTGAAAAATATACAATAATAATTTTAAAAAAATAAGGCAATGAGGCAAAGACGTCCTGCTCGCAGCCGTACAAGTGTAGAGACGGCAAAAACAGCTACTTTAAAGCAGCGTTAGACTAGCATGAGTTTAGCGCTTTCCTCTGAGATTTCAGCAGCTACAGACTCATGAACGACCTGTCGTAGACAACTCTGACAAGATTTGATCACATCCACTCTCCTCAGAATGGTGTGAATTGATGAAGATGGCCAGCCTGGTGGGGTCAGCTCGCTGCTGACTCGTCGGGTGGCTGATAAACAGCTCGTCAACGAGGTTTTTCTGAACCATAACTTTCGCTGCCATCGTGCTTTTCAACAATGTCTTTTTTCACCTCAAAGATGATAACGGAGGCTTTTGTCCTCTTACCAGGGACTGAGCAGTGACACACTCAGGAATAGGACTTTCAAATCCTTATACAGTAGTCCCTCGTTTATTGCAGGGGTTGCATTCTGGACCCCTCCACAATAAGTGAAAATCCACAAAGTAGGAATGCTATATTTATTTTAGTATTTATATATATATATTTTAAGGCTTTCTGAATCTTTCCCACACTTGCAATGTTCTAAACTCTTAAACCTACATAAATTTAACAACATACCAAACGTATATGTACTGTACAGTAATTACATACTGCAAAATTTTATATAGGGGCTCACCAGCCTTGGTCTAGTTTTGATCCGGTTCTGATCGGCTCTCTGCAGCCCTTGAGCATCAAGATGCTTTTAGAGAGAACCGAACCTTCGGATAGACAACACAAAACCACACAATGGTCCTGATCAAGTCCGAATCTGGATGAAAAAAGTCCTGGTGAGCTCCGAAGAAGACACTGGACCTCTAAGCAACACCTCCCCATTTGAGAGACCTCATGGGCCAGCAAGCAGCACTCGGATTGACCGATGAGGCTGGAAGTAGTCCTGGTCCAATTCCCGGTCAGTTCCGTACGGCTCTCTGCATCCACTGAGCGCTGAAGTCACTATGAATAAGGACCAAACTTTTTCGGATCGGATCAAAACTTTCCCTCCATTTCAGCAGCAAGCAACGGCTGGAAGCACTGTTGGCTTCTGGGTAATGTAGTCCTTTTGACTGGCGATACAGTGTAGGATGATTGAGAAAACTATAAAATGGCAGCACCTGTCCGAAGTATTTTTCGTTAACTTGTTATTGTATCCCGTACTGTCCCAATTACATGAGTAATAGTAAAGTTGACAATCGTATATCATGTACAATCTTTTTTCTTTTCTTTTTTTTTGTCGTTTACAATCTTACTTTGAAAAACCGCAAAAAAGAAAGTCTGCAAAAGTCGAACCGCGAAGTAGCAAGGGACTACCGTGTTCCCTTATCTGCTCAGTTGTTCACTTTGTTCACGCCACACAGCTTCAGATTTTCCCCCCTCTTCTCCTGGTGTTTATTGCCAGTTAACAAAGAAGTTTATGGTGCATTACCGTGACCAACTAACTGATTAAGAGTGTGGATCAGGACAGCCAACTTGGGGAAAAATATAAATAAATAAATTCTCCTCTACCACCAGACTGCTCAACTAAAAGATCAACGACACGCTGCCTTAAAGATGTATCAGTAAATATTTTTATGAAATTGAATACAAGTATGAGGGCAGGCAAAAATTATTGAATACCTGATACTGGTATCAGTGCATCACTATTGAATACCTGATACTGGTATCAGTGCATCACTAGTATTTATTATTTTCCATTATTTATTTTCCTCACTGTTTTTTTTTCTTCATCAGCTCACAAAACAAAAGAATGTAAATTGTTCCACCAACCATCATTTAATTTTCTGTCAGCTGCTGCAGCCTTCACCACCTGCATTTATCAGGAAGTGTCAGAATTAATATAGGTACCTTTGCTCTGACCCTCCTCTCAGCACTGACATGTAATCCATAACCAGATGATATGTAAACAACTTTGGCTCTAAGCTGCAGATTACACCTGCCAGCACACCATTAGAAAAATGCTTATCCAATAGTTCATCACAATGATGCATCATGTCTTCTTGCTCTCCACCCACCCCCATCACATGCAGTTCAAATTAATAATGAATGAAGAGATCATTTTCCTCACCTCTTCCTCCCCGCTTACAGCTGGTCCTCCTCTGCCAGAAATCAAGGTGTTCCCGGGTCCGTCCGAAGTGGTGCGGGAGAGCAGTAGCACAACAGGCATGGTGGTGGGCATCGTGGCAGCCGCCGCCCTCTGCATCCTCATCCTCCTCTATGCCATGTACAAGTATCGCAACCGCGACGAAGGCTCCTACCACGTGGACGAGAGCCGCAACTACATCAGCAACTCAGCCACGCAGCCCAACGGCAGCACCAAGGACAAGCCGCTGGGCATCGCCAAGATCTCTAAAAACAAAAAGAACAAAGACAAGGAGTATTATGTCTGAGACGCAATGTCCCCGAGACACAGACACTTACACCTTTATATATAACGCTATATGTACATAAATAGATATATTCTCCAAGAAAAAAAATGTCATACACAGGAACATAGACTTGATGATTTTAATGTTTACTCCCCAACGTTCACACTTGCACACAGACATACACTAAGCAGCCCACACGCACACATTTAAACATACACACAGACACGCCTGGAGGCCCCGGCCCTTACTGTGTACAGTATTTACCAATGAGCAAAGCCTCTATCAGAGGCTTGTTTTATGAGCATAAACACCATTCCAAATGAGTTAGAAAGCACCAGTTCATCTCCCAGCTACAAACCATTTTGGGGCCAGACCACACACTTCTCTGCCAGCCGGACCTCTGGAATGAGCGAGGCCGAGGAAGACTTTGAGTGAAGCACATGGCAGATTGAGTGGGCTGAGTGAGAGGCGGCACACAAGAACAAAGAGGATGTAAAAGCACTAAGTGTCTCTTCCAAGCTTCTTGGCCTTCCTCCCTGTTAGCAGATGGGACTCGACAAAGCACAGAGGATGCTGAGGAGACGAGCACACAAGTGGTTTGAGCCTAGCCTCGAGGAACAGGACAGGAATTCAATGTGTAGCCATAAAGACAGTGAGTTACGAGTAAAACGGGCAAAGACGGAGCCGGTGTTAGTCAATGTAACGGATGAGATGTGGTTGTTACACCGCAGAGCTGATGTCTTTAACGGCGCCCTGTAAATCACAAAGGTGGAATCAGACTGAGAGGTGTTTTTTTTCCTGGACAAGATACTTGAGACTTCAGATGCTACCTACAGACACCAGTCGTGCATGATTGCAGTGTCGCACACACAAACGTATACAAACACATACAGAGTTAAATTTAAAGATCCACAATACCTGTGTGACTGACTCTGAAGACCATCAGAGAAGATGGAGGTGAAAGTGACCACTATGATAATTGTTATGACAATGATAATGATGAATATCGGGCAGTACAGACTCTGGGGATGGGAGGGAGGGGGGAATCTTAATGCACGTGAATTATCTTACTCCGTGTGATTTATACTGCGTTTAAAAAAAAAAGCAAACAAACTCCAGATAACACCGCCATCGCTAACTTTTTGGCTTGAAGTAAACACACACACGCTCACGCTCTGTAAGGGTTTTTTCGGTTTTCGACAATGATTTTAAATCTTCAGAATCAACTCTCAGTTCGAATCGTTAAAAGTGTGACCATCTCGAGTGTGCTGCATGCCTGAGTCTCTGAGCTGTGCTGTGGAGTGGTGGTGTGTCCAGGTTTTTTTTCTCCTGTGGGGGATGGGGGGGGGGGTTGTAGCAGGTCACAGTGTAACACCTGGATTTGTGTGCCTAACCACAGGTGATGTCCTGCTTTTTATTCTGATGTCCTATAAGCCACGCCCACCATACTTGCTCTAACAAACCGCCTTTTATAGACAAAAAACAGCAGAGGAAAAGAAAGTAAAAGTTACCGTGTGTTGCTAATAGATAGAAAAGTCCAGTTGACGCCATCAGCTGTTCAGCTTAAGTTGCTTTTCTTTTATCCTCTTTCACTTTGCCTCCATTCTGCCAGTCGACTGATTAATCAACCCTCCCGACACACTAGGATGGATTTCTTGTTCAGTATAATTCTCTCTTCAAAGTGTGTGAGCCCTTTACAGCTCATGAACTGTAGCCCCCACCCCGCCCCATGAACTAATAAATAATACAAACAGTGCCATGACTCAAGCAAGCCCCTCCAGTTCTTCCAGCAAGATAACTAACCAGGCAGATGCATGCAAACATGGACCAGGGCGAGGAAGAGCCTGAAACTGACTGTGAGACGTGTTTTGTCAAAATTAACGTTCCCATTATTCTATCATCTCTAACTGGCCTTTTGGACCTCTGTTTCCTGCCCTCTTTTTCTCTTCTTGTTCGGTATGTCCCCTCGCTTTGGGTTCATCCACGTCTCTGGCTTTCTGCCCATCTGTTGTGTTAAAATAAAAAGGAGGCGTCTCAACCGATGGGATTCCACATTTTAGGTGTTTCATTAACCATGTTTATTTTCTATATGTACAATTTTTCTACAGTATTTTACTTTTATTTTTATTGTTACGGTTCTTTGATGAACATAAAGTGGAAATTTATTATAAAAAAATAGTTTTGAAGATTAATGAGTAAATAAAATATTACCCAAGTGAGCCTACGGGTGTGTTTGTTCGGCTTTCCCTCGCAGTCAGAAATGTGTGCGTGATCTCATCACCCGCAGCCATGAAAGTAAAGAGCTGTCAAATTAAGACGGAGTAGTCATGGTTTGCATAAAGCTTCAGAGCGTGTCTTGAAGGGGAGACTTCTGACAGAGAGCTGCATTTGAAGATTGATGCCACTTTCATGTATTTGTTATAAAAAAAAAACTGCTGCAGTCAGTGCCGGGAAAAATGAGGCTCCTTTAAACATATCTAATGAAAATAAATTATCCATAACTCGCATAAGAACTTAGTATTAAGCATTATAAAATGTATACGTTTTATTGCATTAAGGCAACAGTGTTTTTGCCTGTGTCTGTATTTATTTGTTTCGTTAGTTAGCAAAATATCTCATGGAACAATATATATATATATATATATATATATATATCCCCCCCATCCTGTCCGGCATTGTGACATTTAGAATTAATGTCTGAGTGTCAAAGTGATGCCCAACAGATTTACTTTCACAAGCAGAGCATGAGCATTATGGCTGGCCTTAATGCTCCACTTGATATATAAATTAAATTTTATTAGAATTTGCTTTGGGTTTGTTTCATGGAACAATATTTTAATGAAAATATCAAAACATAAGAATTAAACCATAGTATAACTCTCAGTTTTACAGGTGTTGAGCTAACATTTGATGCAGTACAGCATTGGAGATTAAAGTTGGCGTTCATCAGGGTTCGTTTCTCAGCCCACTGTTGTTTATTGTGGTGATGGACACAGTTACTGAGCTTATTAGGAGTGAAGTGCCGTGGGGTCTGTTGTATGCAGATAGTTGTGGCTGGAAGTTAATCTCCAAGATAGTTTCAGATGGTGGCAACAGGTACTTGAGAGCAAGGTCTGAAAATAAACGCAGCAATAACAGACCATGATCTGCTCAAAAGCTAACGAGACATTAACAATTATTGATAGAGGAAATGTACTGAAGCAGGTCGAAACGTTCAAATATCTGGGGTCGGTGATAAATGCCAAAGGAAGCTGTGAAGATGACATTAAATGCAGAATTGGTGCGGTGTGGCAACAAATGGAGGGAGCTGACAGGAGTGCTTTGTGACAACAGGTGCTGATTCGTATTAAAGGGAAAGTGCAAGATGATGGTGGGCCCAGTCTTGCTTTGTGGAGCCGAGGTATGGACATTAAAGAGAAAGGAAGAGGAACACCTGGAAAGAATAGAAATGCAGACGGCGAAATGATGATATAAGAAAAACACTTGGCATGGCATGCATCACGGGTAAGATACAGGAATCAAGAATGAGATGGTATGGGCATGTGCAGCGAATGGAAGATGACAACAAGGTAAAAAGGCTATTAAACACAGAAGTTTTTGGTCAATGAAGCAGGGGATGGCAGAAGATGATCCAGCGAAATATGAAGACACAACAGCCGATACACAAAACAGCAAAATGGAGAAGAAGAATCCATGTGGCTGACCCTCAGCCTGAAGGAGAGAGAGCAAGCTAACATTTGATGCAGTAGTAACTGGGAGTCGTTCACTGTGAGTAGTGTCTCGCAAAGTCACTTAAGATTGTGCATAATGATATTTTCAAGGTTTGACCCAAACGGCTACGACTTCATCATTTCTGATTATAAATAATCTCTGGCATAAAAGGCAGTGGGTGACATGTTTTCCTTCAGAGAACGCTCGGCCTTATTAGAAGCTGTCCTGTTAGACCTTGGGCTCTTTCAAAAGGAGCATTTAAATGTTTGCTGCACCAGAAAATAAAAAGAAAATATTCAAAGCATTCTCTGAAGACATTAATTACTGTCATTTGGAGCCTGAAAGAACTAAGCTTTATTTTCTGTTCACAATCCTCACTTCAGCTCCTTACAAGCAAACGTTTTATGTAGTAATCGCACGTTTATTAAAAGAAACTGCATTCCCTGTGTTTTTCTCTTCATCTTCTGATTCAGAAATTCTAAAAAGTGACATTCTTTCCTGCTTAGCCGCGCTCTGGGACGGTAGATGTATAAATACTGCCTTGCACAACAAGCTTTGAAGTAAATGGTGGAAGCCTCAACAGAGCTCCTTTCTGCCGGATGAAAGAGAGACTGCACAGCTGAGCTCGCATCCTCAGGTGAGAGCGGCTGCAAGGACTCGCTTTTTCAACAAACACCTCCCTATCTTGTTCTCTCGCAGCTTGTTTTTCTACAACTTTCCTTTCCGTCCTCCATGAACAGGCTGTGCTCAACAAAAAGGTTTGTGTTTGGCTGTAGACATCTGCTGCAGTGCTGTCCTTGACCAGCCTGCCAGCACCCAGATAGAGATTGTGCTGCTTTGTTTCACTAGAAAACACAAAAAAGAACTGATTTGTGGCTCATCGGTGGTCAGTCGGTCAGTTTTCCGCATGGATACATTTTAACATGTAGCAAACAGATTTTGTGATCTTTGTGAAAAACACTGAAAATATTCAGTTTTCACACGAGGACAAAGACACTGCGAACATTAATGCAGATTTCTACATTCACACAGATTTGTATAAAAGTTCAAAAACATCTCTTAATAAAACTTGGGGAAATCTTTTTGCCATCTATTTCTGATGGTATTAATTAAGCAATACGATGATGGAACCAATCGCGAGCCATTAAGATTACATTAATCGTTAAAAACGATTCTAGGCCTTTCGTTTCTTGACAGAATGCATATCACCCGCTGCCTTTCATACCAGACTTTTTGACTAAGATCATCTTGTGTTGAGAAATTATACCGTATTAGATGTTGAAAATATTGTTATGCGCAATCTCATGATTATTCAGAGATCTCATGCTCAGAGTGTTAGGAGTGACTCTCAACTACTACCACGTCTAATTTTAGCTCAATATGTATAAATGACTCAATTGTAGCCTTTTTGTGTTTGCCAAGATCAATTAGCTGTGGCAGTCATATGCAACCAAATAAAATTCAAAAGCTAATCATTTGTAGACGTACATCTAATGCATTTTTCTAGAAAGTTTGATTAAAATCCATCCAGTGGTTCATGAGATATTTTGCTAACAGACTGACAGAGTTCTTTCTAAAAGTTATTAGCAAAATTTTATATAAAAGCTTGAAGCAATTTGTTAGAGCTTAAAATGTGTTTTAGGGATGACTCTTAGCTACTACAATATTATATTTTAGCATGATATCTGTAATACTAACCAAGTTACACCCGTTTTATGGTTTTTGAGGTTTATTTAATGTGGCAGCCATCTTGAATCCTGATTTCTGTCTACTTGTTTCATAGTCGAAATATGTTTGTAAAGCAGACCTACTTTTGTGCATTCTCAGAATTATTGTTATGTATTTAATTTGTGGGGGGAGAACGGGGAGCAGAGCTGTATTTTTCCTCCTGCTCCCCTGCACAGGTGTACAACAATGGAGTCATCAGATTATCAGAACACACACATCAACACACTCCTCTGAGCTTGTCCCTCATCTTTCATCTCTTTCTTCTGTTTCTTTTTTCTTTTATTTTTTGCTCTTATGTGTGTGTGCGCAACTGTGGGAGAATATGTGTGTGTTTGTGTGTGTCGGGTCAGAAGCTCAAGGCTGCATTTTTTTTTCCCCCTCCTGCTGTGGAATAAATCACAACCGGCTTCTTCTTCCAAATGCTGTTCCCACAACACAACACGTATCATTCTTAGATACGCATGGACAGTAGCAGCCAAAAATGTAAAAACTCTGCTCGTCATTAAACTCGAAAACGAGGCAGGAGATAACTCAGAGCTACACCTGGTCGCCCAAAACAGAGAAAAAGATTTCACTCTCTATTTACTCAGACTCTATCCTGAGTTTAGAGGGAAAAGAGACTGAAATGCAGCTTTCAGTGAAGAGTAAAGAGCTCTAAAGTTAATATAAAGTAAAACAACATTTAAAATCTGACAATTCCTTGATAGAATGCATATCACCCGCCGTCTTTCATGCCAGAGATTTGGACTAAGATCTTCTTATGTTGAGGAAAGATGGAGTTGTAGCTGTTTTTGATCAAATGTTGAAAAACTAGACACAGACACACCTGGTAATTAGTAGTTCAGGTTTACTGTGGAAGGACTGCTGTGGAATACATGTGAATAAATACTGTCTTACCTGCATTAGAAAACAATTGGAGAAAAGTTTGCAAGCTAACAGCTATACATCAGGGGCACTTTTAAAGCTAATTTAATCTAAAACAGCTAGAGTTCCAACTTTTTTCTTAGCACTTTGAAGAAAAGCCATGCGAGGCCTTTTTACACGCCGTTATGTTTAGATCGTTGCTGTTTTCTCGGTCAGTATGTGTTGCTAAGCTAAGCTTTTACAACAGCTGCTAAAACATGCTGTCAAAGCAGCAATTTAAAAGTCCTTTGTCCTTTGAAGCACATTGATCAGTATTTCAGAATTACATAGACTATAAATGCATCAGAATTAGCTGAATATATAATAATATATAATATAAAACATGTGGTCAGTACCTAAAGAAGAAGTAAATTGGCACCAACACCAGGGCAGCCAAGCAGCCAGATCTTTGCAAAGAGTGGCTTTGGATACTGGTTCCAAGGTGGATGGACATGGATGACATCAAGCTGTGTGCCAAAACTGACTGCAACATTGACTCACTGATCCACCACACCAGGAAATATAACAAGGACATTGGAATGTCCTTGACATTGATGACTGGATTAATGCAGTAGAATGGTATGCATGATAAGGCCACAACCTACAGAGAGTAACGCAGGTCCTGACAAGCCAACTGAATGGCAATGAACAAAGTCAAAGCCATCAACATGTTTGCAGTGCCAGTCATCAGACACCCAGCTGGTATAATAACCTGGCCAAAGAAGGCGATAGAAGTCACTGACATCAAGACCTGAAAGCTCCTCACAAGGTATGGCAGGTTTCACCCAAGTCCAGCACCCTGAGACTATAAACATAGAGAAAGGAGGAAGGCAGAGGACTAGTGAGCATCTGAGCCACTATACAGGATGAAACAACTAAGATCCTGGAGTACATCAAGAAGAAGGCCCAATGATGAACTGATGAGTGAATGTCTCAGGCAGCAACAGAAACCCAGTGTGGAAGAGGCGGAACAAGAGAAGCCATCGTGGATGTACCGTACCACTGATAAGGGAAGTGACTGAATCCTTCCAGTGGGTAGAAAGGGCTGGACTGAAGGACAGCACAGAGGTACTAATAACCAGGACTTGTGACTTGTCCAGGGTGTCCGCGCCTCTCACACAGTGACTGCAGGATATGGACACCAGTGACCCCTGTGACCCGAAAAGGAAGAAACGGTAAAGATAATGGATTGTGGCGCAACTGGTAGAGCTGCTGCCTCTCAGCAAGAAGGTATCCGGCTCAAATCCCAACCGGGAGCCTTTCTGGGTGGAGTTTGCATGTTCTCTCCGTGCATGAGTTCTTCTCCGGGTACTCCGGTTTGCTCCCACAGACCAAAAACATGCATATGTATATTTGTCATATGCTAGATTAACACAAGGTTAACAGTACAATGAAATGCTCAGGATGAGCAGAACGGATTTGACTCACTAAAAACAAAGAACAAACAAACAAGAAATACTAAAGCTATCAGGATCTGTCATCGGGTGTGTTGAACCCGCATGCAGGAAGGCAGAAGGAGACTCCAGGTAAAAGTTAAACACATTTATTTTCTAATAACAAAACAAAAACGCTGACAGGGCAGCTTACTTACAAACAGGAGAACAGGACGGGAGATAGAGCACAATACCATGTCAGGACAATCTGGAGACAAGTGACAAGACAGAAAGGAGCTGACTAGCATATACTGATTAAGACAAACAACAGGCACCTGCGGTGATTAACGTTGAACGCAGGTGAGACAAGGGCAGACGCAAGGAGGAGCACTGAGGGATGAATGAAAACATGAGGAAACAGAGAAAGACAGGACAAAACCCAGAACCCCTACAAAAACATGCAATAAGGGTACAAAATAAAGTGCCAAAAAGTGACTAATTAATTATATTTACAAGGTCCTAAAGAGAAAATAGCAAACAACAACATGGTAGAATTTAAACGGTGCAAGCAGGATGAATTTGTATGAACAAGTATTTCAAGGTAGTAACATAAGCGAAAATGCACATTAACATAAACTACACATGTTGTGTGACAGGTTATGTGCAGGTAGTGAGCGACAGTGAGACTGAATTATGATGGTATGGTAGATACATAGATATTGTATCATATATGATACAGCCACATAGTGCAGCAGCAATAAACAACAAACATATTAACTGTCACAGCTAATATTAGTCATATTAGTTGTCACAGATGTGGTCTGGTGCAATGTTATTGCTGGTTGTTCAGTGTTTTTTTTTTTTTATTCAACCTTTATTGAGAGTTTAGTAATCTGGCAGATTGTGGATAAAGCTATGTTCTGGTTCTCCTCGTGTTCTGCCACGTCAGCCTTTTTGTTTAGAAAAATAAAATAAAGTTAATTTTTTAGCTCCTTATGCATTTTGAGTCTGAAACTCTTGACAATGTTTGGCCATAAGCCTGGTCTTCACTAAAGTCTTTATTCATGAACAAATTTACTCTCCCTATTGTATTAATTTTATTTATTCTAATTTGAATTTAGCAAGCGTCTTACAGATTGAGATATTTGCAAGTGAAAAACTGACTGACTGAGTGAATTAAAGACATATTTTTGTGTCAAGAAATGTTTTTTATTTTTAACTTTGGTTGAGTAATTCTATAAGCTGCTTTTAATTTGTATTTGCTATTTCAGTTTTTTGTAACAAGTGCATAAATATTTTGGGAAACAAATGTGTAAACTAAGGTGGAACCGTGGTTACGATAAGAAACAAATAAAGTGTAAAGAGTGCAACTGAGGGGAGTTCAGTGACTGAACTCAAATTGCTTCCTGGTGCATTTTCATTTGACGGGGACCCACTTTTTAAAGTCGCAGTGCAACAATAGATTTGTGGACAGATTAGAGCACCGGAGTAATTTGCACACTTTGAGTTGCATGCCCTGCACAGTCCAAACTTAGCTCACATAGACACAACCAAGAAGAGACCTCCTACACCCTCATACACCCTTGAAGCTTTTCACACGCCCCCAACATCCAGGAAAACCGCTCACATTTCTTCTTTCTTCTAATTCTGTGCAGACGGACAAAGAAACGAGCACAAACTTCCACATCAAACTGGACTTTGGGCTCCATCTTTATGGTCTGCATGCATGTGAGCAGAAACTGCTGAGTGAAAAGGCCATAAAGAAGAAGAAAAGGCAAAAACGAATAGTAATAATAAAACTCTGGACCAAGAAAGGATGGTGTCATTGATGCAGATAATGCTGCTGATAAAGATGGCAGCAGCTTCTGTTCCTGGCTCTGAAATGGACCCTAAACGTGGACATGGAACTGGTTTTCCTAAACAAAGTGAAGACTTGTGCCATCAGGTCGAAATGATTCCCTTCAACAGCTCCAGCAACATCTGGTGCCTGTGAGTATACACATGAACATGCTCGGAGAAACTCACGTGGATGTAAATTATTATCTGGATTAAATGAGGTGTTTTAACAATTGATGCTATTTAGATTGCCTAAATTTCTGATGCAAGATCAAGACATTTAGCTGCAATAGTCGTGCCTGCAGCTGCATCAAAAAGCAAGCAAAAAGTTGTTTTTGACTCTTTTTTTGTCACTCTTAAAGCATTTATACAATTTGACAAACTATTCTACAATTTTTTATTTTTAAAAGCATTTAAAACTAAACATGTCAAAATCTTTTTTCTTTTTTTTTTGCATTAGTTCTTAGAGAATTGTCCTAATTTGGACTAATCTGTATAGTGCACCTTGTTTGGGATTTATGGTTGGCTGCATGAAATAATTCAGAATCCCAAAGCATTATTACCCCAAAATATTGTGACTTTTAAAGCTTATACAAACAATAAATTAATGCTATGGTATGCTACATTTAAAATGTGACAACTTGAGTGCGTTTTTACCTCGGGGACATTTAAAATCGTTCTCTAAAGACAACAAATCATCAAAGCTACAGCTTTTTTGTGGCCCTAATGATAACAAACAATGACTTTAAATTCATAACTCCTAACTGAATTATATTAATAAAAACATCTCACCATAACCCCTCTATTCACCATCTTTAATAAGTAAGCATGGGTTATGCGATGTTTACAAAATCCCATCTAATCCTCACTCATCTCCTCTGGGCTAAATCTTGTTCCCCGTTACTGCTTTTGTAAAACATTCACAAACTCAGGGAATAAATGCAAAACGCTTCTGCTGCTTATCCTCAGCATTTTGGTGAAGCCACAGGTTAAAAACATCCAATGATATTTGTTTTTACTGTAAACTAACAAATGTAAGGATTAAAATCTGAGTTTCACCACGTGAGCTGCCTTACTCTGCATTTACAGTTTGTCTTCGTGCATTGGGGAGTCCACCGCTTCTTTGTATGTTTGACGTATCAACGATCAGTCAGAAATATTCTGTGATAAACCAGAGGAGGAGGAGGAGGAGGAAGGTCTGCAATGTCTTGGTTACATCCCATATGAGTGTCCAAAATTAGCTTTAAAAAAAAGTACAAGTTGAATTGACCTTTAAGGGTCAATTCAGAAACGTTTAAGTGCAGTTTTGTGGAACAAATATCTTACCTGCTGCAGATAGCTTGTTGAACGACCTCAATTTGGAGAAATAATTTATTTCATACTGTAAATGGTAAATGGACTGTACTTATATAGAACCTTTCTATCTAATCAAGATACTCAAAGCGCTCTACAACACAATTTGTGCCCTCGTTTACCTCCATACACCACTCTACTGCATCTCTTTAGCTAATCGACCAAATCATTCTTAAGAGATTAATCAATGCTTTATCACATTCATACATCGATGGGACACACATGAGAGGCAATGAGGGGTTCACTGTCTTGCCCAGGGATACTTCAACATGTGACTGCTGGTGGAATCAAACCCCCAACTCTCCCATTATGACGACGGCTCTAATCACTCATCCACAGCTGCCCCAAACTGTACTGATGAGCTAATGACTAGTCAGGCCAAGTTAAAAATGGTCTGCTGCCGTCTCAAATATTTCATGCAAACATCATTTTCTTCTGTAAGTGTGCCATCAGCTTTGCTTCACACAGTTAAGAACATGGAATTCTGTTGTTGTTCTCAAACTCAAATGGTGACGGCAGCAGCTAGCTGTAACACTTCCAGTAGGAATATTAATTAAGAAAAGTTTTATAAACCAACTTTCACAAAGGAAATATCACAAAGGTCTTACAGTAGAATACAATAGAAGCGAATTTAAATAAACAGACCAATAAAAGTGGTAAATAGACACAAACCTTTCCAACTAAAAACTTACTTAAATACACGTTTAGGTTTTAACATTTGTGCTGGAACAATTGTGTCATGCAAAGTTGACGATGATAAACATTTAAAAAGGGTTGTTTACTCGAAACTTCATGAAAGTTTTAAGACTGGAGTTGTTTTACTATGGACACAGTCCACTTTGGTCTGTTTGTTTCTGCTCAGACTAGCCATTAGCTCATCCGTCCAGTCAGACATCATTTTATCTATAGCAGGTAAGATATTAATTGTACAAAACTCCACTTCAAAAGATCTGAACCATCCCTTTAGATTTTATACGTCCAGCTAGCAAGAATTAACCAGCTGTTACCTGAAATACTATAAATACTTTAAAAATACAGAAAAAAACATATAACTAACTTTGTTCGTTTTTGGTTTATTTTTAATACAGTTGAAATAACGGTATTTCAACATTTCTAGTGATTTTAGTTCAACAGCGTAATTTAGCTTTGTGCGGTTAATTTAACTGCTTTATGTTTTAATGATTTTTACTGGCAGCATTAAGTGACTTCATGTTTACGTCCAGACAAACAGGTGATCTAAATTCTCTTGGGTGTGTTGTTGCCATCTGTTGGCAGAAATAAGATATCTTGCTGTTCTTTTATTTGAAGTCAGTTGTGTTAACTGTGGGAAAATGTAGGCAGCTAAAGATATATATTTATATTCATATTAATGAGCAAAAATGACATAAAAACATTCCGACTTTATCGTCTCCCTGTTATTTCTAAAAAGAGAAAAGTGTCAATATGTTGTCATTAAAGCAAACAAAATGATTTGCAGAACACAAGTGCCAGTTTTATCATCTTCAATGACGTTAGAAAATATTTCTTTATTTAGAAAAATTTAAGATGTCATAGGGAACTGAAGAAATTTATTAAAAAAATGAAATAAAAATGAAGAACAACTCATGTCTTGTTTGAACAGTAATAAGTTGAAAATTATTTTTTTACCTGAATTGTCAGAAATAAAACAAACAGAGCAAAGGCTAGCATTTGCAAGCTAAATGTAGCAAAACAGTAGGTTAAAGCTTAAACTAGCAGAACCATAGCTAACTGCTAAAATTAGCTAACTACTTGATAAATTTAAAAATTGTGAAACAATAGGTAAATGCTAAATGTAAAAAAATGCATTTGCTTGAAGCTAAAAGTATCAAAACTGTAGCTAAAAACAAAAATCAATAAAACTGTAGCTAAAAGCTAATTGTAGCAAAATGGACTAAAAGCCCAAAATAGTTAATCAGCTGTTAAAAACAAAAAATATTGAAATAGCAGCTAAAAGCTAAAATAAGCTAAATGTAGCAAAACCGTAGCTAAAAACAAAAATCAACAAAACTGTAGCTAAAAGCTAATTGTAGCAAAATGAACTAAAACCCCAAAATAATTAAACAGCAGTTTAAAACAAAAAATACTGAAATAGCAGCTAAAAGCTAAAATTAACTAAATGTAGCCAAACTATAGCTAAAAACAAAAATTGACAAAACCGTAAAACAAAAATCAACAAAACTGTAGCTAAAAGCTAATTGTAGCAAAACAGACTAAACCCCCAAAATAGTTAAACAGCAGTTAAAAACAAAAAATACTAAAATAGCAGCTAAAAACTAAAATGAGTTAAATGTAGCAAAATTGCTAAAATTTTATAAAACATTAACAAAATGAAAGAACAAGCAAATCATGAAAAAAAATATATATATATATATATTTTTTTTTTTTTTTTTAATCTGCCAGTAAATGTATCAAAACTAAAAAAAATTGTAAATAAATAAATAAATAAATACGGGTCTAAAATCTATAGCAAGATATTAGCTACAAGCTAAAAGCGTTACAATACACAAAGCTAGCATGCTGAAGATTTCTGAGAACAACTTGTTTGAAGGAATTGCAGAGCTCTGGATGTAAAGTTATGAAGAATATTTCAGTGAAAATTGTTAATTCAAAAAGTATAAAAGTTATAATTAGTAAAAGTTATTCATAATGGAACCAAACTTTTTAATCAGTGAATGCCTAGCACAAAATACACAACTGTAGCTTGACAGCAAAAAATAAATAAATAAACCTAACAAGAAACAAAAGAAGAAAACATTAATGTGAACGCTGACTCACAAGTTGACCCACTTCAGAGAAAATCAGGGAGAGCTGCGTTACAAATTATTTCTCCCACAAACACTTTTTATAAATCTCAAGGTCTTTAACCTAAAGATGTAAAGTGTTGATATAAACATAAACATTTTATCAGGACCAGATCTTACTCAGACGTACGTTAAGGTGAACTCTCGGGCAGCGACACGTGTGTTCTGATCCGTTCTGCTCAAAGGTCAAGGCTCGAGAACTGTTGGGTTTTTAACAAGAATGCAGCAATGGATGGTTGTTTCAGTGAAACTCTACAGCAAAAATTACTCTGAATTATCCTCGAGTTCTTCTTAGAACAAAATAGTTTGTCTGTTGGATGGAAAATAAATCTGATCACAGTTCAGATGCAGTCTGACTCATATATCCATGAAAATCAGAACTTATTTATTTACTCACAGTGATGAGTGTTGCTGAAGCTAACGTGAGCGATTGTTTCTCCCTGCACAGGAAGGTTAATCAATCGCACATCACAGAGGTTCCCCAGCACGCCTTCAGCAGCCTTCAGAACCTCAGGAAACTGTACGTGTTTTCTGCTTCGTTACAAACATAAAATCACAGCACAGATAATTAAAGACAATTTATTTCTGTTATTTTTCTTAAAACAGTTGAATTTTTAAATGTTTATACCTACTATTGTCCCCTCCATTAATGCTTCCTGTATGTTATGTGAGAGTAAATAAAACAGTGTTTGTGTTTTTTCCATTTCTTTTTCTGCTTTAAAACATAAGTGTCTTACCGGGTTTTTTTTTTAGCAGATAAAAATATTTAGAAATATTTTGGATGACTTTGTTTACATTGTTATATTTCAGAAAGGGAATTGTGTCAAAAAGTTCATTTTGTGTTTTTCAAACTCTAAACATCAATATTTGAGCTCAGAAAGGATAATCAAGCATGCCAGCGTATTTACAGTCGAGAATTTCTAACTTTTAAATGATGACGACGCAGCTACTGCCAAAAATCTCTACATAACTTCATAAAAATCAAAGCTAAAATAAAATACCTACATGATGAGAACCAAGACAAACGGAAACATTAAATCTGCACTCAGCGGCTCATTTTGGTTGCCATGGTCACTACACACCTGTATCCCTCACTCCCTGACTGACAAGTGCATGAGAGGCAGAAATAAACAGACTGAAAAGTAAGCCTCAACTATAAAAGTCAGTGTTTAAAAACTACTTAAAAATTATTGAACCAAGAGCGACAAAAGACCTTTTCTGCTTCGGCCACTTCCACTTTGGCTATAATGTAATTCTGTTTTTTCAAATGTTGTTCATTTACACCTCACGGCCACTCGACATCAAAACACATTATTTACAGTCAAATTGCACGTTTCCCTGTATAATATGTATGTATTTTCAAAGTTGTGTGTCGAGATGCAGGACAGAAACTGTGAACAAGGGTAGTAATAGGAGTGCTTGAGTATTTAATACACTGGCATCCTTAATTAAACTTGCATATTAGTACACAGTTGGGCCCCATTTTTGAGTTTTCTTTTATTAATACTGAGATATTATACCCAACTTTCATATAATTGACTCTCCTTCGCATTTCAGCATCATCCGGGAGAACAGCATGCTGCAGCGTATCAGTCAGTATGCCTTCGCCGACCTCCCTCATCTCACTGAAGTGTGAGTGTACAGATTTCCACAACCACCGCACCTGCTGCATTTTCTCCAGAACACTCGTGTTTAGTCTTTGTCTTGGTACAAGTAGAGCTGAAACCTCAAAGAAGGCTCGTGCTGAGCGAGCGTGGCAAAACAACGGAGACTAAACATGACTGAAGGTGTGGCTGAAGGCCTGAGGGTCGTACGCTTCAATCCGTGTCATGTTTTTCTGTCTTCAGCTCCATATCTGAAAACATGGCGTTGGAGACTATCGGAGCTTTTGCTTTCTCTAATCTCCCAGAACTCACTGAGATGTGAGTATAAGCAGCAGGATAACGGCAGCGGGGAAACCCTGAAGCTGCAAAACCTGTCGTGTGTTTCTTCCAGAGAGATAACCAAGTCAAAGAGTCTGAAGTCCATCCATCCTGATGCGTTCACGAACATCGTGAACCTTCAACGTTTGTGAGTTTCTCCTTTGGTTTCTAATTGTGATTCTAAAATAGGTTGTGGGTGAAACAACCCCAAACAACATAATTTTTAAATAGCCTGAACCCCCTTGATGGGAAATAACATATCCAATCACAAAAAAATAAAAAACATTTTCCCACAGTTGTTATCACCCAGTGTTCCTTCTTGTAACATTTATATATTCCAAATAATATAATTGTTTCTATCTTTTGAAACATTCTCAAATAAACTATTTCTGAGACTTGGAGCATCGCTGAACTCCCTCAGGAGCGCCGTCGTCAGTCCTGTTAGGCTTGGCCCAATTTGTGAGAAACTGGGACACATAAACTCGGCACTGCGTGGCGACAAAATATATTTTTAATACTATTTGTTAAAACAAGGGCACCTTAGTGTGGCAACAAGGAATAAATCACAGCCCAGAAACTTTTTTTTTTTTAGGGTGAGCAGGTCTGAAGACAAAACAAAATATGTTACTTTTGGAAATTTTACACAAAAGAGGAACAGATTTCTTCCTAAATTAAATTAAATTTAATTTTTTTTAAAGCTCATACAAATCTTAAATTAATCTCTCTTCCATCAGAAGCAGATTAGTTGAGAAAAAAGACCAAATTCAGTTTATTAAATTAAAGTTTTTGTTTTGTAATTTTAGAATATTGAAGCGATGAGTTATTTAATTTTAAAAAATGAATACAGCTAATATTACAAAAATGTGTTACTCAAAGTATTCAGACTTTTATTTTTTATATTTGTGTGATTGGACACCAAAATATAACATTGAACATTGTTCGTCCAAGTAGACGCAAATATAAATACACACTCATGGCACAAAAGAATTTACTGATTTTACCAGAAGAAGAAAATATTGTATTTTAGAGCCAGGATGAGCACATTCTTGATTTATAATTTAATAACAAGTTTGTCTCCTGTTTGACACAAAAAAGCAATGTTTTGCTCTGTTTGGTGAGGTTTTATTGTAAAATAAATCCAATTTGTCACGTTTAAGCGTTAAAAACTTGTCAATTATGAGAAAATCACGACTTGCTTTCAAACGGACACACTCATTAAACAGATAAACCTGTTCAAATTTTCACAGTCACTTCTGATTTCCAGTTCTTATGTTTTCCAAGAACCACAGTTAGCGACCCATGCTGTATATATTTTTAGTATTTTGGTTGTGGGTTCATTTTATAAGTTTACATGAGAAGAAAATACATTTTCCCCAAAAACATTAGAGTTCCCACTGTATGTCACAAGAAATATGCAGAAATTACGGTACCAATTTACAATAAGGCTCCCCTTATACAGATGCTAATAGATAGTTTATAGAAAAATCCTCTATAAACACTTTATAAATCATTAATACCTGCTTATTATGCATTATTTAATGGTGAGAAATGGACAAAACTGACCAGTTTCTTGCCAAATACTGAGCCAAATCTGTTCACCTATATATTTCATCTAGAGTTGTTATATTAAACATTTCAGACTAGTTACTACTTTGTAAGCACAATAAACATTTGTAAATCTAATTTTTCTTAGGATATAATATTAGTTGTAGATACTTATAATGCAGTGATAAAGTACAATATTATATCCTAAAGAAATAGGTTTACAAATGCTTATTGTGCTTACAAGATAGTAACTTAGTCTGAAATGTTTAATATAACAACTCTATATAGATGAACAGATGTGGCTCACTATTTGGCAAGAAACTGGTCAGTTTTGTCTCTGTCACCCTTAATCAATGCATAATAAACAATTATTAATGATTTGTAAAGTGTTTATAGAGTAATTAATAATTATCTATAAACTATTTATTAGCATCTATAAGGGGAGTCTTAATGTAAAGTGGTACCAAAATGACAAAGAATAGTTCTTGAGATTCATAAACAGAAATTAAACATCAGAACAAGTTAATCCTTTAAATCCAGATTACCGTATTTTTCGGACTATAAGGCACACCGGATAATAAGGCGCATTAAGCAAAACTAAAACATTTTGACCGATTTTTGAGCGCCGTGTACCACATAAAATCGGTTCGAGGTCAGTAAGCACAACCAGAATTAATACATAAGGCGCACCGAATTATAAGGCTCACTGTTGCTTTTTGAGAAAATTAAAGGCTTTTAAGTGCACTTTATAGTCTGAAAAATACGGTATATTGTAGCTTCTTAACAGTCCAGTTTTTAACATTTGTCAAAACATTTGTTTACTCCAATATTTCAGTATCTTTCAAATAGCCCGTATATAATAACTATAATAACATGGACTTCTATTGTGCAATACTACTGACATTTCATACTCTTAATTACCTTACCTCTTAATTACATTACTAATATCCATAATGTGCAATATTCAAATGTATATAATTGTGAAATAACTTTTATTTTTTACTTTCATAGTGCTATATCTATATTGCATTTTTTCCCTTTTTTTAGTTGTGAATTTTAAACGTGATTGCACTGAAAAGGGAGTGGCTCTCAATCTCATTGTACTTGTGTATAATGACAATAAAGGCATTTCATTCCATTCCAAATACCAATTGAAAAATAAAACTCCAGGAAGTAGTCTCATCTGACACCCCTGTGAATTTTTTTTCTGGAGGTATTCATGGCTAATGTGAATTAAACACCGAGACAACATATGTGCATAAACAAGAGAAAAATAATATTTTTTCCATTTCGCTTAGTTATGATGCTAACTGGGGATTTTTTTAAAGTAAGTTTAGACTTAAAATAGTCACTAATTGAATAACTACTGCACCCTTTTCATAATGTCCACCGTGTATGTCCTGTTTCAGCAAGAGGATGCTGATTACATGAGTTTAAATACAGTACATCAGATAAGAGTTGCATTTGGTAGTTTTCATAAGCAATCAATTCCACTGGGCACCAGTGACCCACGCAACCTGAAAAAGAAGATGTGGGTAAAGAGGATGGATGGATGGATGGATGGATGGATGGATGGATGGATGGATGGATGGATGGATGGATGGATGGATGGATGGATGGATGGATGGATGGATGATTTCCACCCAACAGGTCGAAGAAAAAAACGACCCATGTTGCCAGACGTTGCTGTGAAATTCCTTCTTGATTCACACGTTCAATAGTTGACTCTTCGCAGGATCATCACGAACACGGGCCTGAAAATATTTCCAAACTTCTCCAAGATCCACTCTACGACCAGAGGTTTCCTGTTGTAAGTGTCAGCACAGAAAACACACACACACACACACAAACCAGGGGTTAAATTAAACATGCCTAGAGAACATCAGACACATGATGCAGTCATAACGTGCACCTATCGCATGATCTATGGAGATCAACTCAACTGGAGCACAATTTCTTCAGCTTCAAGAAGAAATCAGTCATGCATGTTTCTTATCTGACATCTATAGGCTTCAGAAAGAAAAAGTGTCATTTCTATATAGTAGGATCCAGAACAAAGCATGCCCTGCTGCTTTTCAATTCACAACATGTCCCGACGCTACTTTGATTTGTTCCCTGTTTGGTGTTTGTGTTGCACAGCGACATGCAGGACAACAGCGGCATAGAGACGATCCCTGGCAACGCCTTCAATGGCCTCTGCACACAGCCCATCACAGAAATGTACTTCATCTCTTTTTTTTTTATTATTTCTTTTACTTTTATAGACAACTTTGACACATGTTCAGAACATTATGTTTCTATAACAAAAGTGTATGGGTAACACCAGCTGAGTACTTCATCCACATTTAAAATTGAGTACAAATGCAAACATTCAAGTGAGCTTTGTTGCATCTGAGCTTCGATGTAATTTATTTCTACTTTGCATTTTAACGACTAAACGACTAAATAGAAAATAAAGTAGCTTAAAATTGCTCTGTTTTGTAGTTGCATGATGTAGAAATAAAGTAATAATTTAAACATGTCAATCCCTGGAACCGGTAAAATGCAGCTAAATCCACTTAGCGGCTCCAGAACTCGATCTTTTCTTTGTTTAAACGAGGGCTATTCAACTGGTGGCCCAGGGGCCAAATCAGGCCCACAGGTGAGCTCAGTTCAGCCCACCAGTGAGTTCAATTTTAAACAAAACTATTAAACCATAAAATAAACTTACTTAATGACAATAACTGCTGGATGTCTGGCCCCTGAGCGCTTGGCTTTCAGTAACTGTGGCCCCCTGAGCAGTTTAGTTGAATAACCCTGGTACAAAGAATGTGGATTAAAAAATAATAATAATAATCAAAATAATCTTCTGACTTTTTCTTGGCTCAAAAAGTTTCGAGACACATGCTTAACCAATAAACAGACTGGCACACAATTGACTAATTTCTTGTACAATTGCATTTTTTGCGGGTCTAACCAACCCTAAAAAAAATGTCTGCATCAAACGATAGAGGTTAAAAACCGACGTAGTGAGTTTTACTGTCTTGTTTTGGTTCAAGTCCCAGAAAGACACAGACCTTGAGAGAGTGATTCCACCTGGCACAAAAGAATGTGTGAAATTTAACCAAAAGTAGCCACAAAGCAGATAAGAAACACAAAACAATAATAAAGACACAAATTCAGACATAACATGTAGTGAGATGTAAAATAATCAAAACAGGGCAAGAAAACAGGCACAAAAGAAGAATAACGTGATTAAAATCTTGGAAAATCAACCATAAAAAGTTTAAATGATTGTAAGATGCTGCAAGTAAATACTCTCAAACATGTAGGTGGATATTCAACCTGTTCCCACAGGTTTGGGAACAAAAAGAGGTGCAAACACTAAATTTGGCATCAGCAGCTCAGATAGGTTCAGCTGGAACTGTTGTGCGTAGGAGACACGTGACCGTTTTTTTATTTATTTATTTGTTTATTTTAATTTTTGGCTTCTCTTTCTAACGACAGACGGCTCACCAGAAATGGCATCAAGGAGGTGGCGAGTGACGCCTTCGACAAAACGAAGATGTACAGATTGTGAGTCACAAACAGACGCACAATTACAGACATTTGTTTATTAATTTTATGAATTTCTCTCATTCCTGCTCTCTTGCAGGCTCCTGAGAGGAAACAAACAGCTCACTCACATCAGTCCCAGTGCTTTTGTGGGTTCCAGTGAGTTGGTGGTACTGTAAGCATGATTCACCCTCATCTTCATCGTCATTGTCATTTGTTAGACTCAAGATGTAACACTTGCAATTTTTTTTTTTTTTTATAAAAAACTGATCTTTTTTAATGTGATGCTTAAAAAAATAATAGAGAGTGAGTTTTAATGAGAAGGTTTTTATTTTGTGTGTTTATTCCTCAAACGAAGAGGCGCCTCATCCAGCTGAATTATTTTTAGGTTGCTGTCTTTTTATTTCTTCCAACTTGGCAACCAGACATCAACTCCGCCTCAGTGTAGTTTCTTTCTTCTTTGTTTTGTTTTGTAGTTTCCTGGCATTTGATAAAACCAGAATATGACTGGTAAATTATTTCAACTTGGTGTTTACTTTAACAAAAAAAAAAAAAGTGGAGAGGAAACAGATTAATAAAACAACTTGTAAATAAATCAGAACCAATTTGACAAATTGGGGGACAGGAAAACCAGTTGTGGGAGTGGTGGCGCAGAGGTTAGAGGAGGTGGGCCTGTGATCGGAAGGTCGCCGGTTCAACTCCACGTACCAACATCATCAAAATGTGAGTGGGAAAGGTGAAACACCCACACCTGCCTCCACCATCATTTGCACCACTCTGGGTCTTTGAGCAAGGCACTTAACCATCTGCTCCACTAGGCACCCTAGATGGCAGCTCTCTGTTCCACACAGAGGGCTGGGGTAGCTCGGTGGTCTGTGGCTGTGTCAGGAAGGGCATCCGGCGTAAAATCAATTGCAAAGTCTTTGTGCGACTTAGTTCGCTGTGACTACTGAAGAAGGGAGCAGCCGAAAGAAGAAGAAAAAAGGGAGAACCAGTAGCAAATATATAACATAACGCTTTCTTATTAAATCCCTCCTTTTTTGTTTTTGCAGAGACGTCTCTCAAACCGCCGTCAGCTCACTGCCAGACTCCATCCTCGGCGGTCTCAAGAAGCTGGTTGCAGAATCGGCCTATCAGCTAAAGAAACTTCCTCCCGTGCAGAAGTTCACCGCACTGCGCACGGCCAGCCTGACGTACCCGTCACACTGCTGCGCCTTCATCAACATGCGCAGGAACAGGTACAGATCACCGACTGAGGAAGACTCTTGAACTCAACCCACAGGCTCGTGACCTGTTGCTGGTTTTATGACTACAAACATTGATTATATGTCATTTAACAAAGAGCCTCAAAAAGTTATTAAATTAAATTATGACTACTGTTTTATTACTTTTTCTCTTTTACTTTTATACTCTTCCAAATATTTAACTTTATTTACAAACATAATCCCCATAAAAGTACTTTGAGATCCTTTCGGTTACTTTAAAAAACATTATTCACTTTTAAATACGCTTTGAACTGACTTTACCTTCTTACGCTGCTTTTAGCTAGTATTCTGCAACTCTTAGCTAGCCTTCGACTAATTTTCACTTCTAACTTTTGGACTTGCAGATGCTTTATTTCTTTTGCACTTTTTGGTGCTTTGCTTTGTACTTTTGTTGCATGCTTTGGTATTTCTCGTCTTTTTTGTTTGTTTGTTTTGGCTAGTCGAGACGGTTCTTCTCGTCCTGAGCATTTCATTGCATTGTTGACCTTGTGTTGACCTTGTGTTGACCTTCATATGACAAATAAACAATAAACTAACTATCATTTTGCTACTTTGAGCTTTTAATTACCGCTTTTAGCTTTTAACGACTATTGCCAATTTTAGCCTTTGGCTTAGCTTCTTTTTGCTGTTAGCTAGTGTTTTTCTTGTTTTAACTTTTAATTAATGTACTAACTATTATTTTATTTTTAACAAGTTAGTTTTATCTTCTTTGGCAAATTTTAACAAAGTTTTCTTGCACTTCCACAAGTTTTCAATAATAAAAATAATAATATAACTACTAGTTAAGTAATTATTTAAGTAATTAACTAAGTTGCTGCTAACATTAGAATGTGTTATTTTGTTCACATGGCTGCACTTTGTGTGTGTTTTCATCCAGGTGGCATCCTCAGTGCAACCAGCCTGAGCTGAGAGGCATCCCGGCCTTCATCAGGGAGCACTGTTCCAACTCCACCTCCTTCAACTGCACCCCAAAACCCGACAACTTCAACCCGTGCGAGGACATCATGTCTCCCGTCGTCCTGCGGATCCTCATCTGGATCATCTCTGTCCTTGCTCTGTTTGGCAACGTTGTAGTTCTCCTTGTATTGTTAGGTAAAACCTTCAGAAGTCCCGTCAACATTTCACCTTCAAGTTGAAATGCTCTACGAGGTTGTTTTGATGTCTCACATTTAAGGATTCTTTAGCTTTCTGCTCACATTTTAATTTTGTGTTAGACCTCTTGTCACAGGCAGTGGTTGAAAGGACACAAATGCAGTCAAGAAGGTGGGCAGGTTCAGGATTTAAACCAGTTTTAGTGACTAAACTGTCTCAAGGACTGGCAACATGACAGGAACAAGAATTGTGATGGGCAACAGATGAGCTGATTAGGAAAATGAAACAGATGGTGACAAAGAAGCTGGAAATCAGAACTAAGGGTATCAAGAGGGTAAAAACAAAAATACCAGCATACAGCTCAACAGAATTGCAAAAACTATCCACACTCTAAGAAAAAGAAAACCAAACAAAGGTTAAAACCAAAAAGACATAGCCTAAACTATGGCATTGTTATTATATCTATATTTTAATCAGTGTGCTGATTACTAACGAAGAGGTGGGGCTTATTTTGTCTTTTTTTTTTTCATATTTTCAAACAACAAAGACCTGTGCAATAATCTGTTCCACATTAAATACCTTCAATATTGCTGTATATGTCTGTATTAAAACTAATATTTGTTTATTTTTATGCACAAAATGTTTTTTTCTTCCCTTCTCTGTGTGATCAGGTGGCCGCTCCAAGCTGACGGTTCCCCGTTTTCTCATGTGCCACTTGGCCTTCGCTGACCTCTGCATGGGTATCTACCTGGTCGTCATAGCAACCGTAGACCTGCTCACTCATGGTCAGTACTACAACCATGCCATCGACTGGCAGACAGGCCTCGGCTGCAACGCAGCAGGATTTTTCACGGTGTGTATCCACACGCTGGAGTTGATCGAACGGACTACTCTCACCTGCTTGAATAGTTCATCGGTATGACTTCCAGGTGTTCGCCAGCGAGCTGTCAGTGTTCACATTAACAGCCATCACCGTAGAGCGCTGGCACACCATCACACACGCCCTGCGGCTCGACCGCAAGCTTCGCCTGAGGCACGCCTGCACCATCATGACGGTGGGATGGATCTTCTCCTTACTGGCTGCTCTGCTGCCCACAGTTGGCGTCAGCAGTTATGGCAAAGTAAGATGTTTAAATGTTCCCTCAGTTTTATTTGATGTTTTGTTTTTTTCCTTCATGAGTATTTGTTTAATCACGCATTCCCTGAAAACTGAAAAACAAGACATGTTTTATGTTTTAAATGGTTGAAGACTGCATTAGTTTGGCATCTGGCATTAGTTTTTAGTTGGGCAGGTAGGTACCAACTAGTTATTGTAGCATCAGATGATAGAAAGAGAAAAAAGCTGCACAGCACTAAAGTTGTCAAAAAATGCAGCTTATAATGTTATTTATCACAAAGCTCCTTTTTTTTACCCAGTGTTTCTCCTTAGATAGTCTGTCAGCCACATTATTTTTTATTTCCATTCCACTACGTCCTAAAGGTGCTCGATGAATGTTTTTCCAATCTCTTATTGTCCAATTTTGGTGCACTCTGTGAATTGTAGCCCCAGTTTCCTGTTTTTAGCTAACAGAAGTGGCACCCTTCTGCTGCTAGAGCCCATTAGGTTCAGGGTTCAACGTGGTGTATGTTCAGAGATGGTATTCTACAGACCAAGTGGTTATTTGAGCCACGGTTGCCTTTCCTCTGACCATCAACACATATTTTGGACCATTCTCTGTAAACCCTAGATATGGTTGTGTGTGAAAATCCCAGTGGATCAACAGTGACTGAAACACTCAGACCAGCTCGAATGGGCACCAACAGCCAAGTTACGTTTACTTAACTCCCCTTTCTTCCCAAATCTGTTGTCTGAACTTCAGCAAGTAGTCTTTACCATATCTAGATGCCTAAAAGCATTGAGTCTGCCTGAATAGGTTTTTGTTAATAACTGAACAGTGTCACAATACTTACAGACCAGGCTATATGACGACAATAAACAGGATCTGACAATGGACTGAGGAAACCAGAGGGATGACTGGTTAAAGTGTAACAAGTGTGCTGATTACTAATGGGAGACAGGTGGCATGTGAGGAGCTGGAAGAAAGGTCACCTGAGAGCGTCTGGTGGCTGTGATAAAAACATCATAGCAGAATTATTAAAAATAAACTCAGGAAAGCATAAAATACCAAAGATCAATTCAACATAAAACCAAAAACCCAGACAACGACTCAAATCGTGACACCCAGTCAGTGATACGATGGGAATATTTACTGCAATGATCATCATCAATGACATATGATCATTCTGATGTTTGAATGTGTGTCTCCCTATGCAGGTGAGTATCTGCCTACCCATGGATGTGGAGTCCCTGGTGTCCCAGGCGTACGTGGTTTTTCTACTTCTTCTCAACATCCTGGCTTTTGTCTGTGTGTGTGGCTGTTACCTCAGTATCTACTTAACTTACCGGAAGCCTTCATCAGCGCCAGCCCACGCCGACACCCGGGTGGCTCAACGCATGGCCATCCTCATCTTCACCGACTTCATCTGCATGGCTCCGATCTCTTTCTTTGCCGTCTCGGCGGCCCTGAAGCTCCCTCTCATTACCGTCTCGGACTCCAAACTCCTTCTGGTCCTTTTCTACCCCATCAACTCGTGCTCAAACCCATTCCTGTACGCCTTCTTCACCCGTACCTTCCGACGGGACTTCTTCCTTCTCGCAGCTCGCTTTGGCCTATTTAAGACTCAGGCTCAGATTTACAGAACCGAGACTTCTTCATGTCAGCAGCCGACATGGACCTCGCCAAAGAGCAGCCGAGGGATGTGCTCCTTAGCCAACACACTGAGCCTAGACGGGAAACAAGAGTCCTGATAGCCTCCAGAGTATTTACAGATGTAGATTTTGACTGGATTGTTTAAGGCCCCGTTTACACAACACGTTTTTTTTGTGTGGAATCACAGCTTTTCTGCTGTGGTTCAGCCATTCATTTACACAACAACAACCTTTGTTCTCTCTGCAACCTAACATTTCTGAATCCAGGTCTCAGAGTGGAGATTTTCAGGGGAATCCCCCACCAATGTGTGAAATGCTCCACAAGTGTGGTTGCACATGCGCACTACAGGCGGCTGCAGTGCAAAATTTCTCTGCACTAACAACAGTTATAATAAACGGCAGAGAGCAGAGTGTTTTTGTGTTACCCACCCTTTTTAAGCATATAGGAGCAAAACTAATCAAATCCAGGGTCCAAAGAGACGTTAGTGTATTCACCAGTGTGATCATGCGCGATGAATACTGCTGAACCCTGCATCAGGGTTGCCAGATAAATTTAAAATGGCTTATTTACCCCCTCTTTTTCTGTGCACGTGTTCAACAAACACAGCACACACCTCATTTTAGTATACCGTAATTTTCGGACTATAAGGTGCACCAGATTATAAGGTGCATTAAGCGAAACAAAGCAGTCAGATAAGTCAAACTTTATTCAACTCATTCACCAAAACCACATAAAATCGGTTCAAGGTCAGTAGAATTAATACATAAGGTGCAACTGATTATAAGGCTCACTGTTGATTTTTAAGAAAATTAAAAGATTTTAAGTGTGCCTTATAGTCCGAAAAATACGGTACCTTTATTCAGCACATATGACAGTTTAGGTCAAAATGCTATCATTTTACAGCGACAGTACTATAGTTCATGATTTATTATCTGGCAACCCTACTGATGTGGAAACTACAGCGTTTTTGTGTAAACTCGCTCTTTTTTTGTTTATTACCCCAAATAAACATTGGAAAAACACGAACGTTTCCAGAGGTTGTTCTCGTGTAAAAGGGCCCTAATTGTCCTCCCTGAGGAGCCTCATTTCACTTAATCAGAACTGCTTGTGGATGATAATGCAGTTTAAATAATGATTTCAAGAGATGCATCATCAAGAACTAAATCCTTCTCACGCTCATCGTTCTTGACTTACATCTTCAGTCTTCAAACATTTCAGGAACCTACTTTAATTCAGTACATACGTCGCACTGATTTAGCCTGTTTTCTCAGATTATGCGAATGTTTAAACTCCAACCAGCAACAAGTTTAACAAGCAGTTTCCAGTTTCTTTCTGTGGCCTCATAATTCCTACAAAACGCTGTAAAATTGTAAAAACTGCAGCACTCAAAGTAAAGACGCAACAACTGCAGATAATTAGTACAAATCTGGGCCATGAAGCTGTCCTAGATATAGTTGTTTTTGTTGTAACTTGATTACAGCACCAGATGGGAGGACTTTCAAGCAACAAGACTGAGTTTAAAAGTAAAAGTAAACCTGTGTCTTCATCTGTCGTCTTATGTAACAAATGTCGTCCTGGTGTCTCAAGAATATGCTAGACGCTGGAGCGTGGGGAGCAGCGGTGGATGCACATCAAAAATTCAACACCTTTAATTTTTAATGTCATCATTGAATGACATTTATTAAATTAATGGCCTAGCATTCCTGAAAAGAATCCATATTGCCTGGCGCCTTTTACACCAGAGTTTCAAACTAAGATAATGAGAAGGGTTGGCGTTATCACCACTTGTAAATGTGCACAATCTCATGCAATATTGTGAGTCATTAGGAGATTTGTTAGTGCTCAGAATATGAGATCTGAGTTGTGAAGGACTCTCAATAAATGCTTCACCAAATTATAGTTCAACATCTATAAAATTGTAATGGTTTAACCATTTTTCTGTTTGTTAATGTTAATTAACTGGCGGCCATCTTAAATTGGGGCAAAAGTTCATTAGTTGTAGATGTGCAATAAATTACTTCAAGAGAGCTTAATTAAAGTATGTGCAGTGGTTCATGAGATATTTTGCTAACAAAAAAACACACAGACAAGCAGAAACATCACCCTGCTGATAATAAAACAAAACACTGCAGGGCCCTCCTGATTTCTTGTCTCCCAGTTTCTCTTTTTCTAAATGAAGGTTATGTTTTCATCTTTGAAATGTAATTATATTTATATTTTATATTTGTTTTGCACCAAAAGTATAATTTCTGTATTGTTTTGTAAAGTTTTTCATACATAAGCCTCCCTGTCTGAGTGTTTTTAGTTGGAAATAAATTCTCCCACATAGAAAAAAGCAATGCATAATAAAAATGATGAAGCTGTCCTTCAGCTCATCCACGGCTTTCAAGGACAAAGCGACACCCCCCACCAACCTTTGCACTGTGCAGTAAGTTGGGTGGTGCAAGAGGAAAGACATCTGCTCGATTTACTTATTACAGAAGGATGGATACATCAGCAAGATAAGGCTTACAGAAACGCTCAACAGTGTTTCAAGGCTGCAGCTGCAGAAAGGAATGTGAATCTGTCTCATTGATATGGACGAGCTGCCTCCTACATGCTTAATATGTGGATGCAATTCTACACCAGTACCACTGGGTGATCCCAGTGATTTCTGGTATGAGAACGTTGGTTACGCACTGTAACCCTAGATTCTATGAGTATAGGAGCAGCCTTTTAACAGACAGAAAACCACAAAGTCCAAGTAGATGAATCAACATCTGCAACCGGTTTCTTCAGATCCGCTGTAAGACAGACCGCTACAAAAGATCCCTCCTGCCTACACCCATCAGCATCTATAACAACTCTTTAATGAAACCATTATGATGAGTTACAACAACATTTAATTTCCTCTTGGGATTAATAGTTTTTTAATTGAATTGAATTATCTCACAGATGTAGGTTATTTGGTGTTTTGGAGACCTTTCTTCCCTGGAAGTCAAAAAGATAAGACCCATGTGTTTACAGTGGTCTTGTAAAAATAAATACAAATGAAAATCTTTAACCTTTATCACCACTTATCAAAATATTTAGGTGAATGTATGTATATATATATTTACTCCCATTTGTATAATGTTGGCCCTATTTGACCACAAAATTGCAATGACATTGATACCTATGATGAGTGACTGCAAACCTCTGAATGCAGCTGTAGAATAAACGATTCACAGTGCATCTAAATGTTTCTGTGATATTTGGCAAATCCACATCATTTTGTTGTTATTCTTGAATCCAAAGCTCTTCATTATTCATAAGCTGAGTCAATGAGCACTTTCGTCAGTGTTCACATTCATATTAGTGTCATACAACTATTTTGTGGTTTAGTTGTAGGTGTAAGTGTTTTTATTTAAACCACTTGAAATCAGACCCTTTTGAACTGGAATTTGGTTACCATGGAAGTCACAAGTGCATCAGTCAAATTTCAGTGGCTGATTCATTTCAAAACACCTCTGAACCTGCACAAGGAGTATACCCTACGCAGTAAGTACCATACCATACCATTTTATTTATAGAGCACTTAAAACAGCGACAAGGCCAACCAAAATGCTGTACAGACAGAACAACAGACAACACACAAAGCAATATACAAAATGAAGTAAATCAGAATATAGACATAAAAACGATGCAGATAATAAATATGACGACAAACCAGTGTGGAGCGTACAGGTTCAAAACAGATCCTCTGGTGTTGAAAGCTACTGAATAGTAGTGAGTTTTTAAACGGGATTTGAAAACCGAGAGGGAGGGGGCCTGTCTGACAAGCAGAGGTAACTCGTTCCAAAGTCTTGGTCCTGCTACAGAGAAGGCCCTGTCCCCTCTGCGCTTAAGACGAGTTCCTGGAACTGTGAGGAGCAACTGGTCCGCTGACCTCGGGGAGCGTGGTGGGACATATGGTTGTAGCAGATCAGAGCGATGGGGGGTGAAACTGTTCAGCGATTTGTGGACATACTGTACAGGAGTATTTTGAACTGGATTCGAAGGTGAACCGGTAACCAGTGCAGTGAAGCCAAAACTGGAGTAATGTGCTCTCTTTTGCCTGTACTGGTTAAAAATCGGACTGCTGTATTCTAGATCATTTGTAGTTGTGCAATGGAGGTCTGACTGATACCAAACAGGAGTGAATTGCAGTAATCAAGCCTAGATGTAATGAATGCATGTATTACTGTCTCCGGGTTATTTTTGGACAATATGGACTTCAGTTTAGACAGCCGCCTCAGTTGGAAGAAACATGATTTAACAATCATGTTTACATGATTGTTAAGTTTCAGAGAAGGGTCCATTATTTATTTATCATTAAATAATTTCCCTCTGGGATTAATAAAGTAAATTTGAATTTGAATTATCACTCCCAGATTAGTGACTTTTTGTTTTTCTGACAGGGTTAGAGCGGAGAGGTCGATGCAGTGGTTTGTGATCGTGTCATTGGGAGGGAACAACATGAATTCAGACTTCTTTTCATTGAAACTTAAGAAGTTTAAAGCCGTCCAGTCCCTGATGTCAGCCAGGCAGTCGAGCAGAGGTTGAATAGAGCATGTACCATTGTGTCTTAGGGGGAAGTAAATTTGACAGTCATCGGCGTAGAAGTGAAAGGGCATGTTGTGTTTCCGGAAAATAGCACCAAGCGGCAGCAGGTATAGAGAGAATAGGAGTGGACCCTGGATGGACCCCTGTGGAGCCTCCCAGTTAAGCTCTGTTGCTGCAGAACTAAAATCCTTGATGGAGACACAAAAGGATCTGTCAGTGAGGTAAGATCTGAACCAAATGAGGGCTGACCCTGTGGTGCCCACGCACTGCTCCAACCTAGCAATGAGGATCTCATGGTCGATGGTGTCAAAGGCGGTTGTGAGGTCCAACAGGACAAGCAGCACAGAATCACCGGTATCTGTGGATATGAAGATGTCATTAAAGACCTTCTGCAGGGCAGTTTCTGTTCTATGGAGAGGTTTAAAGCCAGATTGGAAAAGCTCTAAGATGGCATGATCCTCCAGGAAGCACTTCAACTGGGACTCGACTATTTTCTCCAGTAGTTAAGTAAGAAATGGGAGTCTGGAGACAGGCC